AACTTGGGACTTGAGGTTTTAAGGATGTTGGGACAATGCGGAGATTGTTGGGGAACATTGGGCTACCTCATCCCCTTGGACCCCCCCTCCCGCCGTAAGCCGTAAGGACCCGTGAAGAAAATAGGGGTTGTCGTTTCAAGTGAATGTACGAGTTTATAAGGAGTGAACGCAAGGAACGATCGCATGAAACGAAGTAAAGTCACGAACGAAACACTTTTTTCTTTTACTTTTCCCCCTTTAATGTTGACTTCACATTAATGATTCCCGCCGCAATTGTAAAATCCAGCTGCCGGAACACAATAATGCAACCCCCCACAATTGTAAAATCCAGCCGTGGTGCTACTACCTAATACTAAAACTAATAGTACAGGATTTAGGCGAACATAATTGAGGAGGCCCTGGCCGGAGAGATTGATCAATCAAGGGGGGGGGGGGGGTTTATGAATGCGAAGTCAACATTAATGCTGTAGGTAAAAGCCCCATTATAATATAAGTCTTTTAGAGGGGCTTTTAACTCAGCATGCAATAAAAGATCCCTTAAAACGGGACCCAAAATACTAATACGCTTATAGGCCCGTGCAATATTATATTTAAGGGGGAGAAGTGCTGGGTCTTGGGCCAATACTTTGACCGGACATGAGCCCTGAAAAACTCACTAAACCATACATGTGTGGAACTATAGTTACTATAGTAGGCAATCGCTGAGATCAGGGCCCTTTCTCAAAAAATGCAAGAAGAAGCTGCTCAGCTTCTCCGGCCCTGCAGGCGGTTGATTGTTTGGCGGAACCAGCCATGTGGCTGAGTAGCCGTCCGGGGCAGGAACTGCCGCGCGAGGCAGTGCGCAGGCAACCTGCTGGCTGCTCTGCGCTGTCATTTTTTGCAGCTTGGCCAGCCAAGCATCAATTTTCATGGCCCGCAAAAGCAAGGACGCAAAAACTTGTGCGTTGAGCATCGGCTCGCCCTGGGCCGGAGTCCAGAAAGTCCCAGCCAGGTTGCCCGCGCGACGGCATTTGCGCAGGGGCGGGAGCTTGAAGCTTCAGGCAACCAGACTTCTGCGCTGGCCTGCAAGTCGCTGACCATGACCCTCAGCTTGCGCAGCCCCACACTGCCCTCAGAAGACTTCAAATTCAGCCAGACTCGGTAGTGACGAGTCTACAGACCAGGCCGATGCTGGGCCCCACCTCAGCCTGGCCGTCGGCTGCTTTGCGCCGCCCGCCCACCAAAAGTTCGTCGGGAACACTGGCACCGCTGCTGAGGAGCGATTGGGCGGCGGAGCTCGCAGGGCTTAAAAACACTATCCCGGCGTCCTTGCGATCATGGCATGGAGGGGTTCTGCACTCCCCTGTGCACGGTACCTCCTCAAGATTGGCGGCTTGGCGGAGGTTGCGCCCCGACCCACACAGTAGACAGGGGTCCTGTAGCTCCGTGCAAAGGCGGGCAACAGGATGCTTTTGCGCACCCATCCCTGTAAGAAAAGGGGCTCCTCCTGGCTGCACAGAGGATCGAAAATTTCTGGAGGTGCATCCTGCCCGGCGAGTCTCGGCGACGGAGTTCCTCACCAGCCGCATTGGACACATCTGGACACATCATTGCTCTTCAACACAATGATACAGCCATGCGTGCGAAGGGTGAACATCCTTCGCCCTTTATCGCTATTTTAGCGCACCCTTTATGGCGAGCCTCCACCAGGAGGTTCTCTTCCAAGATTGTCTCCCAATCATCAGCACCATCCTTGGAAGGGAGCTGAGCTGAACAGCTGAACAAGGTTGTTGCATCGTTTGGTGATACTTGGGAACCCGCAGTTGGACGCTGGATGTCTTCTCATTCGGTGTCAGAGTCGTAACGCGCCGCCGCATGTCCTCCTTGCTCGGACACCTCCACAGCGGTACCCAACTCGGCCGCGAAGAAATCCGCCACCCATTGGAAGGCAGTGCTTCGGGCGGATGTTGGGGCGGGGGGGAACCCCCACCACCTTTCTTGATGACCACAAATTGCACTTCGCTCCAGCAAGCTTGCTTGCTGAGCTCTTGGGAGCATTCAGAGTTGGTGAAGAAAATACTCCGTCTTCTCAGATCGGACGTCCCTATCATTGCGGCGCACCCAAGCCAAAAGTGCGGCTTGCCCAAGCTTGCTCGCGTCAAGCGCCGGCATGGGAGGCACGCGAGGTACATCCTGGCTGGCGTCGCAAAAAGCCCGGACGAAAGCCGCGTCGAATACCACAGTGGCCATGTTGGCAGGGACAGTTGCGCGGAGTCGAGGCTGGGGGGAGGCTTGAAGTTGGCTGCAGTGAACGGAGCGTTGCAAGACAGGAGGAAAATCAGGTGGCCCGCAACAAGCCAAGGAAGACACCTCTCACCTACCGCTGCCATGCGGCGCAAGGCGGCGCAGAGCACGGTGCATCTTCCACCTGCCGCAGGACAGCGTTGGAAGCGGCAAAAATCAAGGTCGTCAGCATTTTTGCATATGGTACTCTAGTTGCACAGGCCTGGCGTTTTGTTGCGTGCGTACTGAAGACGGAAGTATAGCTTGGCGAAATGCTCTTGGAGTTGCCCCTCGATCCCCTGATGGCAAGCCAGATGACTTGCATTTGTGATGCGCGCAAAATCTTGGCTCTCAAAGAAGCGGCGCTCATGCATTCATGCTTATGTTACTCGACCAGAACAATGCACTTGCCTTCCTTCAATTGTGCTTTTTTGTGAGTCTTGAGTTGAAGATTTGCCACATGGCCGGCTGCTCTTTCTGGGGTCAAACGAAACCATTCTGCAAATACCAGAGGGTGGATGTTCTCCAAAGTTTGTCGAAGCGATAATTAACCCCTGTTCCACCAAACCATGTAGACAACCCTAAACCCGTCCGCCGACCCCCGAAGCGCACTCGCAGCAAAAACCATAAACCCCAAATCTTAGACCCTATTTTAGACCCAGACCCCAAACCCCAAACCCAACCCCAAAACCCCAACCCCAAAACGCCAATCCCGAACCCTAAGCCCTATACCCTAAACCCCAAACCCTAAACCCTGAAACCCTCAAAATCTGGGGCACTGGGCATCCTCGGATGGCTCGCGACCAGCCTCGCAAACAGCGAGGGCCCCTTTTAGGGCGGCTGTTGAGGTTTAGGGTTTAGGGTTTCGGGCTTAGGGTTTAGGGTTTAAGGTTTAGGGTGTAGGATTTAGGGTTTGGGGTTTAGGGTTTAAGAGGCTCCAGGGCTTCGCAACTCTGGGAATCAGGGATTCGGGTTTAGGTAATCGGGTTATGGGGTTTAAGGCTACGGTCTGGGACTATGAAAAAAACAGATCAACTTTTATTTTGGTAGTTATACATCAGAGTCTGAAGCTGAAAGATATTTTTAAAAAAACCAGGGTCTATTTCCAGAGCGTGAATTTGCATTACGAGATTCAAAAAGGTACCTTTTTTCCTGCGGCCTTGCCCAAGAGACCCGCCTCACAGGAAAGCAAAACAGTACCTTTTTCTGCTTCCAAAAAAGGTACCTGATCCCTGCGGACTTGCCCAAACGACCCTCGTCACAGGAAAGCAAAAAAGGTCATTAACTTGTTCTGCTTCTGCAAAAAGAGTACCTTTTCCTGACCCTCGCTTCCAATAGCCGATTTCTTCTCACAACGCTCAGCCGTATAGGGTTAAGTGTTGGGTGTTGGTGCTCCAAGGCGTTTAGGGCGATCCAGGGCGTCATCGCTTTGGCGCTCTATAGGTCTTAGGGCGACAAGAAGTCAAGGCAGTGACCGGGTGTGCACTGCTACTCAGCTGTCTCTCAAAGGAAGCAGGGTTCAGGGTTTTTTGGGAGGAGGGCATAGGGTTTAGGGAGCATGTCCACGTGCATCCTGTGCACGCCCGCTATACAGACCTTATTGCGCTCTAGCCGTAGGAAACATGGGCCTATTAAGCTCTTATGGGGCACAGACACTGTCGTAAGAACGCAAGTACCCGAACGAAGGCTTCTTCTGAGACACTTGTCCGCGCCGTGAGAAGAGTCTGAATAACTTTTGCTGCTTCAGTCAGGGTGTTGAGGGTTTGGGCACGTGCATATTATAGCACCACGTCGGGTGTAGGGCTTAGGCCTTCCATCCGGAGTGCCAAGCAAAGAAGGCTTTGACATCAAAACCTACCTGGGGCTGGGAACCCTAAACCCCCAGCCACCCCAAACCCTTAACCCGAAACCCGAACACCCCAAACCTCAACCGGACCCTAAACGCTAACCCTAAACCCTAACCCTAAACCCTAAACCCTAAACCTTAAACCTTAAACCCTACACCCTAAGCCGGGCAGCCTTCTGGTCGTCAGACAAATCCAGGCCGGCCCCAAATTCCGTGATCAACGTGCCTTAGGCAGGAGACCCCTAAACCCTGAACTAAACCCGCCAGTCCCTAAACCCCCTGAAGCCCTAACCCTAAACCCCTAACCCTAAACCCGAAACCCTAAACCCCTCTAACCCTAAACCCTAAACCCTAAACCCCCTATAAAGCCCTAACCCTAAGCCCCTAAGGCGTGGCTTTTCGGCTTTCGGAGCAATGTTGGCAGACTCGGGTCTGTTTCCAAAATCCCCAAACCCCCGAAGATCCGAAACCCCGACCTGAAACGGCGAATCCCTAAACCACCCTAAACCCCGAAACCCTAAACCCTAAAACCCCTACTTGGAGGTTCATCCAATTATAACTGCACTTATAACTGTACTTTCAACCGTATTGGGGCAGTTAAGGGGCTTACAAGTGGGTTCTAAGTACAGTTATATTTGTTAATAAGTACCATGAACATCCAAGTAAACCCCAAACCCTATTCTAACCCCAATTTGTGCGGTTGAGTCCAGGCGGCGGTCCTGAATGCCCGCCAAGTCCTCGAAACTTAGGGTTAAGGGTTCGGGGTGTAGGGTTTAAGGTTGAGGGTTTAGGGTTTAAGGTTTAGGGCTTTTGAAGTGTAGGGTTCAGGGTTTAGGGCCGGATGAGGGACTTTTCGAGTTTTTGGGGCTTTGGGTTTGAGGGTTGAGGGAAACAGGCCTGAACACATGTCGGGCTTTAAGGTCCGCTCAGTAGCCCAGCGACCATCTTATAATAAGGGCACCCTTGTTTGGGTTGGTTACTTCAGAAGGGAACCCAGAACCAAAAAAAGTAAAAGGGTACCGCTGGGCTACTAAGTTGAATTAAGGATGATGGGATGTGATGGATGCCCCCGACAAAGGCCCTTGAGTCCTGTAGCCCGCAACCCGAAAAGATGCAAACCCGAAAACCCGTAAGCCCCCAACCCTACCCCAAAACCGGAACCTGACCACCCTAAACCCTAAACCCTAAACCCTAAACCCTAAACCCTAAACCCTAAACCCTAAACCCTAAACCCCAAACCCTAAACCCTACACCCTAAACCCTAAACCCTAAACCCTTTCGGCATCCACGAGGTCGGACGGGCCTGCGAGACCTTCCGCGCGTAGTCCTGCTCGGTCCGCTGTCCCTCCTGAGGCATTCTGTCGAGGGCCCGTCTAGGATGCCCATTAGGGGTTTTGGGGATTTGGGGTTTAGGGCTAGGGTTTAGGGTTTAGGGTTTAGGGTTTAGGGTTCAGGGTTCCGGGTTTAGGGTTTCGGGTTTAGGGGTGAGGGGTCTTCAGCATGGATATCAGGGGGTTTAGCGTTCGGGTTTAGGCGGAGTAGAGGGCTTAGGGCGCTTAGGGGTTCAGGGGTGTAGAGGGTTAGGGCTCTGAGGTTCTCTGGGTAGATCAGGGTGTTTTCAGGCTTGAGGGTATGACAGGGCTGTTAGGACTGCGAGGTCATCAGCAATACGGAACTTCGCCTGCGAGACGCTCTTGCAAAGGTCGACGTAAAATCGAAACCCGAATAGACATTTTGCAAGATCCCGCAAAAGTTTAGGGCCAAGTCATATACGACTGGGCTAAAAGAGGACTTGGGGGCTTAGGGTTTAGGGTTTAGGGTTTAGGGTTTAGGGTTTAGGCTGGGAGTCTGTGTTCCAAGGCCAAACTGTCAAGAGAGCTTGAGTCGGGAGGCCGGCAACCAGTTCGGGTAGAAGTGATAGGCCAGATAGCCTCGCAACAGCTATTATTATTATTATTACTATTATTATTATTATTACTATTATTATTATTATTATTATTGCTATTATGATGATTAGTATTATTATTAGACTTGTTATTATTATCATTATCATTATTACTGTTATTATTATTATTATTTACAACAGCTGGCAAGTCAGAGGCTGCTTGTGCTGAGGGCGCTTAGGTGAGTCTGGCGTGGTCAACTGCCAGATGTCCCTACGACTGTCATTTGTGGATATCACAATACTACTCCTCCTACTCCTGCTGCTCCTCCTACTGCTACTACTACTACTACTACTACTACTACTACTACGACGACGACGACGACGACGACGACGCAGGAAGAGGAGGACTGCCTACGGCACTTGCAAGAGGGGCCTGAATAATTAGAATAGGGTGCTGGGGGTTGTTGTAGTACAATAACAAAACGGAAAACGACCAGTCAGTATTCCGGCTCCAAATAGCCCAAAGTAGGTACTATTTACAGACTTTAGACCCCAATGTAGGTATTATTCGTATACTTGGAGCCCTCCTAGGGCTAAAACCCTAAACCCTAAACCCTAAACCCTAAACCCTAAACCCTAAACCCTAAACCCTAAACCCTAAACCCTAAACCCTAAACCCTAAACCCTAAACCCTAAACCCTAAACCCTAAACCCTAAACCCTAAACCCTAAACCCTAAACCCGAACGAAGGCAACAACTCTCGCCCGTCGACTCGTGGAGCCTTGCCATCCCAGGCGATGGAGCACCTGGGCTGAGTTTCACACCGGTTTAGGGCTTAGGGTTTAGGGTTTGGGGTTTGGGGTTTGGGGTTTAGGGTTTAGGGTTTACGGAGTAGGGCGTTTCGGCCTCAGGATACTTGGAGTACAGAAGTGCGCCAAGCCAAGGCTTGTCCCGGCTCGACCGCATGCGGAAGAGAGCCACAAACTTACTTGATAGGTCAATAGGCAATTGCCTTGTATCTATCCTGAACTTGGAACCCTAGCAAAAAACTTTTTTTGCTGTTTCTTTACCCCAATTATCAAGTATCCCTGAGGTACCCCCTAACGTCTGAGGGATGTTTAAAGGGTACCCAATTCACCAATCTGGGAGTCCTCTTCAAGGAGTGCGAGACCTTGTGGGGTCTTGATGGTGCATCGGGTGGAGAGTTTGAAGGCCTTTGACGGGTTGAGGGTCCCTAAACCCTAAACCCTAAACCCCAAACCCTAAACCCCAGCCTCCTCTCAGCTCAGCCGGGCTGCCTGAACGTCGTCTGCATAACCGAAGCCATCCTCGGGGCCGCGAGAAACAGGGATTCTAAGGTTCAGGGTTTTAGGGGTTTAGGGTTTAGGGTTTAGGGATTAGGGTTTACGGTTTGGGGTTTTGGGGGTTAAGGGTCTAGGGTTTCGGGGTTAGGGTTTAGGGTTTAGGGGTTTAGCGTTTCGGGGTTCAGGGTTTATAGGTTTATAGGGTTCATAGGGTTATAGGTTTGTAGGGTTTGTAGGGTTTATGGGGTTTAAGGTTTAGGAAAACATGGGTTGAGGGGATTTCGGGGCCAGGGTGTCAGGGTTTAGGGTTCGGCTTTTCGGAGTTTAGGGTTTAGGGTTTAGACCGTTTCGGGTTTCGTAGGAGTTTGTCCTCATTTCTACTCAGAGAGCTCGACCACCTTGGAGCTTCTTAGGGCTCGGGTTAGGGTTTAGGATTTAGGCTCTACCCCTACCGCACCAAGCAGAAAAAAAAAACAGAGGCCAACCAAAAGAAGTTCCCGGGGCCTCAACCGCTGGTGGTCTCAGGGCTTCTCATACATCTCAACCCTGGATCCTAAACCCTACACCCTTAAACTCTAAAAGCCCTGAAGCCTAAATCCTAACATCACAGATGGACTTCTGGATCCTAAACCCTACACCCTTAAACTCTAAAAGCCCTAAAGCCTAAATCCTAACATCACAGATGGACTTCTGCGACAATTGCTGGTGGCCCACACGCCCTCAGAGTTCAGGTTTCGCAAGGTTTGTAGAATCCTCGAGCTTGAGGCCTTAGGGTTTTCAAGCTCAAGACTTAGCGCTCAGGGCTTCAGGGCTCAAGGTTAGGGTTTAGGGTTTAGGGTTTAGGGTTTAGGGTTTAGGGTTTAGGGTTTAGGGTTTAGGGTTTAGGGTTTAGGGTTTAGGGTTTAGGGTTTAGGGTTTAGGGTTTAGGGTTTAGGGTCTAGTTTTTGAGGGTTTAGGGTTTAAGGTTCAGGGTTTGGGGTCTAGGGATCCTTCTTCGAACAAGCTTCCAGCACGCAGCGGCCGACGGGGAGCTGGGCGTAGTGGAGGATTAGCAGCATGTTGTGGAGGTACCTGAACAAAGGTTGGGGGTTTAGGGTTTAGGGTTTAGGGTTTAGGGCTTAGGGTTTAGGGCTTAGGGTTTAGGGTTTCGGGCACCCTGAACCCCGTGGCCGCCCCTGCAAGCCGAATGGCCCCTTTTGGCTGGTTCTTACTAGGGAATGAGGGAATTAGGGAGGAAGGCCCTTCGTTGGCTACGGGAACGTTCGACTCTGTGGCTTGAAGCCGCCGGCTTCTGCCCCGATGCAGCAGCCGAAATCCGACGACGAAATCCGAAAGTCCGAGTCCTAAACCCGAAGCTACTGTTTGCTTAAGAAGCCCCAAAAACTAAAAGGCAATAATCCCTATATTACCCTTATAAGGAAGAATATTCGAATTCTTTTAGGGAGGTTCTTACACAAATAGTAGTAAGCCCTAAGTCCTAGTTAAGCCCCAAGCCGTAAACCCTAATCCCGGTTCAGGGCGGTTTGGGGCATTGGGCTTCAGCGTTCAGGAACTCTTTAAACCTTTAAGATATATATCCTTAATATGCTACTAATTACTCTTATATAATGTTGTGATTGATCTTAAAACCCGAAAACTTGGTCCTCACAGCAAACAGGTGCACACAACACACACACACACACAAACTCTGCAAACTCGGTGCCTGATCTACCTCCCCTTGCCCCTCGAAGCCCAACCCAAAGTTCAATGTGCGCTGCTTGGAGCAAGAGAAGTTGGTCGTACCTCGTGGCACAGCACGTCTCCCAAAACGCTAGACCGCCCAAAGCCATAAACCATACAGCCTAAATCCTGAAGGCCCCAAACTCTCAAGCCTCAACACTGACCCTAGAGCCCCAAAGAGCCTAAACCCTAAACCCCAAACCTTAAACCCTAAACCCTAAATCCTAAACCCCAATCCCTAAACCCCAAGCCCTACACCCTCAAGCAGCCCAGGTGCTCTTCCGCCATTTTGTATCCAAAAGGCTCGTTGAAGATCTCGTAGAGCACGCCGGCTGAGGATGCAGAAAATTGGGGCGTAGCAGGTAGAGTCACCCTAAACCCTAAACCCTAAACCCTAAACCCTAAACCCTAAACCCGAAACCCTAAACCCTAAACCCTAAACCCTAAACCCAAAAAAGCCTATAAGCTTGGACAAAGGGCTCGGCCTTAGGGTTCAGGGCCTGGCGTGCTTTTGGGGGTCTTCTGGGGCCCGAGGGAACCCCGAACTCGCCCCAAACAAACCTTGGGGGACGTATGGACGTATTTAGGGGTTCAGGGTTTAGGGGGTTTAGGGGGTTTAGGGGGTTTAGGGGGTTTAGGGGGTTTAGGGTTTGGGGGGTTTAGGGTTGGGGGGTTTAGGGGGTTTGGGGTTTGGGGTTTGGGGGTTTAGGGGTTTAGGGGTTTAGGGGTTTAGGGTTTACAGGGCGAACTCCAAAAATCTCCAAAAAGAATTGTGGTCCACATGCCCTGACAGGAATATATGGGGGGGGGGGGGGGGCATGTGATCCTGTACTTGCTAAGACATTGGACAGCGGACGCGAGAAACCTCGGATCCTCAAACCAAAAACCAGGCGTGGGAACCGACTCAAGACTGGCCGCTGTCGGAGAAGGCTGCATGAGCCTTGCAGGTGCTTCGCGCGCAGGATGTGTGGGCCGGGTTCTGATCCAATTCCTGGATTTCGGGGCTTAGCGGTTTTAAGCCCTAAACCCGAAACCCTGAACCGGACATCTGCATCGAGCGTGGCTTCAGGCGTGCCTGTGACTAGCCTTTTTTACTCTTGTCGGGAATATCACACTGGGAAAGGAGGGAAAATCCTTCTTGGTAACTTATAACCCCTCTATAGGACCCTGCAAGGTGCTGTTTGAGGGACCGAAATTCCCCCATTCCCTGCTAAAGAAGGGCTAGACGTCTCGCAGAGTAATCTCGGGGGTGCGGGGCGATCTGCTGTGTCATGATACATCATTCATTCCTCGGGCTCAGGGCCGAATCTTTAGGATTTAGTGTAGCGTTCCCCTTTTTGGGCTTCTGGTGCCATTCTAGTTAGGGTTCTGGCTTCCGGTTCCAGACACCTGAAGAGGGATTGTAGTAGCCCCGGGCAAATAAGAACGGTTCATGTATTGTAGGGTATATATCTCTTGTACCCCCAAAAGGACACCAAACATATACACTCACCAATATGAAAAAGGAACCTTATATACACTCACCAAAAACAGTAATATAAACCCTACTTCATGTCGTCCCCAACCGTTCGCCACATGCTTGTTTTGAACTTCATCATCCCCCACGCCGGGAAGCCTCCGTGAAAGCACCCGCTTTTGGTGCCCTCCAGGGAGTTTAGGGTTTAGGGTTTAGGGTTTGGGGTTTAGGGTTTAGGGTTTAGGGTTTAGGGTTTGGGGTTTGGGGTTTGGGGTTTGGGGTTTGGGGTTTGGGGTTTGGGGTTTGGGGTTTGGGGGGTTTAGGGATGTCGGGGCTTGGGCTACGTCCCACTGTACTGAAAACTCCTAAACTGCCCTCGACTACTGAACCCTAAAAACCTAAAACCCTAAACCCAAAAAACCCAAAAACCCAAACACCCAAGAACCCAAAAACCCAAAACCCTATACCCTAATAAGCTCAACCCTCAACCCTCAACGCTCAACCCTCAACCCTCAACGCTCAACCCTCAACCCCAAACCCTAAACCCTAGCCCTAAACCCCAAACCCTAAACCCTAAACCCCCTTCCGGCCGCCTTCATCCAGGTGGCGCTGGCCGCTGCGACGTCTGCGCAGCCGCTGCCGTGGGGTGCGGCCCTGGCAGTGGTCGTGCGTCGGTTTTAGGGTTTAGGGTTTGTAGGGTTTAGGGTTTAGGGTTTAGGGTTTAGGGTTTAGGGTTTAGGGTTTAGGGTTTAGGGTTTAGGGTTCAGGGTTTTAGGGTTTAGGGTTTAGGGTTTAGGGTTTGTAGGGTTTAGGGTTCAGGGTTTTAGGGTTTAGGGACTGCGGCTGTAGAGCCTGGAGATGCGAGGCTCGGAGCTCGCAGCCTGGACTTGTGGACACAAACCCACGGCGACCAGCCGTGATCACGGAATCCGCCTGAAACCTACACCCTATAGACCCTATAAAACCCTATAAACCCTATAAAACCCTATAAACCCTACAAAACCCTATAAACCCTATAAACCCTATAAACCCTATAAAACCCTATAAACCCTATAAACCCTATAAACCCCTAAACCCCTAACCCCTACCCCTAAACCCCTAAACCCCTAAACCCCTAAACCCCTAAACCCCTAAACCCCTAAACCCCTAAACCCCTAAACCGCTAAACCCCTAAACCCCTAAACCCCTAAACCCCTAAACCCCTAAACCCTAAACCCTAAACCCTAAACCCATCAAGCATGCCGGACTCACTGGGGGTCGGAACTCTCCTCGAAGAAGCAAAGGAGGCCTCCGCCGTGGGGGTTTGAGGTTTGCAGGGCAAAATGGGAGTCGGAATACGTAGGGTTTAGGGTTTAGGGTTTAGGGTTTAGGGTTTAGGGTTTAGGGTTTAGGGTTTAGGGTTTGGGGTTTAGGGTTTAGTGTTTAGGGTTTAGGGTTATTGGGGGTCATTGTCCTATAGTTATAAAGGGACCCCTAAGGAAATCATATTAGCAATGATTCCGACACCTCATATTAGAAGGTTTGGGAGCTTCGGCAGGATCCTGAACCCTAAACCCTAAACCCTAAACCCTAAACCCTAAACGAGGGAAGACGTGGCATTTAAATTGACGTAGCCAACCTGGAGCCCTGATTGACCATATCAACTCCAGGAGCTCCACCTAGGTTTAGGGTTTAGGGTTTGGGGTTTAGGGTTTAGGGTTTAGGGTTTAGGGTTTAGGGTTTAGGGTTTAGGGTTTAGGGTTTAGGGGTTAGGGTTTAGGGTTTAGGGTTTAGGGTTTAGGGGTCTTGGGTTTAGGGTTTAGGGTTTAGGGTTTAGGGTTGAGGGTTTAGGGTTTAGGGTTTAGGGGTCTTGGGTTTAGGGTTGAGGGTTGAGGGTTGAGGGTTTAAGGTTTAGGGTTTAGGGACCATAGTCCTGACGTGATGAGGGTGCATGTACCCCAAGCCCCAGTCAGTACTTGCTTCGATAGCCCCTACGATCGTGGACCCGAGAGAGCATAAGATCTGCACCCGCCCGTGAAGAGCTTGGGGCTAACTTGCGAATTTTGGGGGCTACATGAACCCCTGAAAAGATTTCTGTTGTCCACAATATTGGGGATTCTCGGTTCTGTAGTTTCTGTCCACAATATTGGGGATTCTCGGTGCCGAGCGCAAGTTCTCCCAACTTTGGGGCTTCATTGTGGCATCCCAAGGCCCACAGCCGCCCCTTTGCTCAACCACTTTCCAAGCTCCTTGGCCGCCAAAGGAGTCGAAGTATGCGCGGATCGACCTGGGAAGGCGAGACGGACAGCACCTGCTTCGGGTTCTATCGACCCGGGCTTATTGTGCCCTAGTTAACAAGAACCATCTGAGGGCATGCGAACCATCAACCATTCGTGGTGGCCCAGTATATCCATCTAAAAATCAGGGCACCCTTTTTTGGGGCTGGTTACTTTATAAGGGAACGCAGAACCCAAAAATAAAGAGTCAAGGGTATCCACTGGGCTACCAAGCATTTTGGGGGCTCCTCTAGCAAGCTACAACTGACCCTGGCGTGCAGCCCCTTGAAAGATAAGCGAATGGTTTAGGGTTTAGGGTTTAGGGTTGAGGGTTTCGGGTTGAGGGTTCAAGGTTCAGGGTTCACGGTTTAGGGTCTAGAGTTCAGGGTTTAGGGTTTGGGAATTGACACGCCTTTCTTTGGATTTAGCAAGGGATGTGTGCCCATACATAGTCATACCATTCCCGCAAAGAAAACAACATTCCAAGATAAAGAGCTGCTTCGGCATCATGACATGAAGTCACACACCTCCAAACCCTGAATGAAAGCGTTCGGACATGAAGCCCACAACCTTGAAAGCTAATTCAAGGGCCCAAAACGCCGCCAAATGCAACTGGCGTCCCAAGTGCTGCAGGGGCGTCGGCAGTTGACACGTTCACCTCTTGTCGGGCTGCATTCAAACTTGGTAGCCCAGTAACCATGCCATAAGAAGGCCACCCCTACCAAGAAGGTGTCACTCTCACACACTCTCTCTCTCTTTGTCGAGAGCACTCCGGAGAACCCCCAAAATTCCCATGTCCTGATTCCTTGTGCCCCTGGAAGCTCCCCCTGTAGAGTGGCACCACTCGGACCCTAAAATACCCCGCAGTGCCCGAAGACCCTGATGCCGGAATCCTTGCACACCCGGAAGCCTGCACCGACTCACTCCCTGAAAGCGCTTAGGGTTTAGGGTTTAGGGTTTAGGGTTTAGGGTTTAGGGTTTAGGGTTTAGGGTTTAGGGTTTAGGGCTCGAAACAGCCAGACAAGACACCGGCAGCCGCAGGGCGTCGAAGCCCTTCTGGCGAGCCTTGCTTGGAGGTTCATGGTACTTATTAACCAATTACATAACTGTACTTATCAGTCTACTTATAGCCATATGAGGGCACTTACGGGGGCTTATAGTTATAACTCTACACCTCTACTGGGCACATAAGGGGCGTATAGTTATAATTGGTTAATAAATACCATGAACCTCCCAGTGGGATTTTGCAAAGATGGTTGTGAGCGGGTCTATCTAGGGCTTGTAAGCTCTGTGGATGTGAGGTTTAGGGTTTAGGGTTTAGGGTTTTAGAGTTTAGGGTTTAGGGTTAGGGGCACTCTATGCAAACTAACGGACATAAGAGGGGTTCCGGGGGTGTACTCTTGAGGGCTTAGGGTAGCCCCGACGAAACTTGTAGTTAGGCGCACTGGCAGGGATTTCTTGCGTTCAAATGTTCTCACTTCTTGAGTAGATCTGGTTCAGGGACCATGGCACTACGGCGCAGCATCCTGGACATCGAGCCATTAGCCGTGCAAGAGCCACTTTCTGTCAGCAAAAAAGCCGTAAACCCGAAACCCTGAACCCTAAACTGTTTAGTTCCAAACCCTAAACCCTAGCCCTAAACCCTAAACCTAGACCCTGAACCCTAAACGGCTTAGCCCTGAACTGGGGTTTAAGCTGTGCCGGCCTTGTCCAGGTCGGCCGCAGAGTAGTCGAAGGGATAAACTCCTTGCAGGGGATGAGCCGCTCTCAAGGCGCCTGCTTATTACTCAACCACACAGAGCCTTCTCAAAGCCCTAAAGCCCAACACCCCAAACCCTAAACCCGGAACCCCCTAGACCCTAAACCCTAAACCCCAAACCCTCCGATGGCAGCCCCTGACCCTTCAAGGTCGCTACGAGGCAGATTCCTTGCTTACATGATTTGGGGACCACATGAACCCCAAGTTGGGGCTTAGGGTTAGGGTTTAGGGTATACCATTATATGTAGGAGTTGGGGCTTCATTTCAGGGGCGCTCAGCAATCCCTATGAGGGCATTGACTAAGCCCTCATTCTTGGGCTCATTCTAGTCCCTTATGCGACACTAGCCTAAGCCCTAAACCCTCAACCCTTCACAGGGTTCAGTTCACTTACTCGCCTTGGTATGGCCTTAAACCCTAAACCCTAGTTTTCCGGGGGGGGGGGGGGGGGGTACCTGGAAGGAAGTTCCCCGCGTTGCTCGTGCCCTGCGTCGCTGGCAAGTTGATGCCCCGCATGGCAGCGTGTTGGCGACTCAAGGTTTAGGGTTTAGGGTTTAGGGTTTAGGGTTTAGGGTTTAGGGTTTAGGGTTTAGGGTTTAGGGTTTAGGGTTTAGGGTTTAGGGTTTAGGGTCGAAGCGCTGTTGGGGATGAAGGCTTTAGGACTGTAGGGCTCAGGGTTTTTGTTCTTCGGGCTGACTGTGACTGCTTCAGGTTGAAGGGGAAGGTTGGGTTGTGTGCTATTTCGGAGAATGCATATTCTAGGCTTAGGGCTATTTTGGGAAGCCCCAACCCCTAAACCCTAAACCCATGACTTTGCTTTTTGAAAGCCGCTGGAGGGTGAAGCAGAGCATGGTACTCGGACAGCGTCGGCCGGGGTTGAGGGTTTAGGGTTTAGAGTTTTGGCTTGAGGGTTTAGGTTTGAGGGTTTAGGGTTTTGGGTTGAGGGCTTAGGGTTTTGCATTCTTCTTTTCCGGGGTTTACGGTTCTGGGTGGATTTGGGAGCCTTTGAACAGTTTAGTATCAAATAGTACAGTTCCAGGGCTAGAAAGGGATTAGGCCTACGGAATAAGAAGTTTGAACTTCGTGTCAGATCAACCTCAGTTTAGTAGGGGGTTGAGTCTGTTAGGGGCCTCAGGCTAGGGTTCTAGGGTTTAGTGCTTCCAGCTTAGGGTTTAGATGAACCGTTTTCGGGTAAAGTACGCTGTGCCACTAAGATACCTGTGGGGTCTTGCCGAAGGCAGATGGGAATTAAGATTCCAGGACGAAATCTCGCACAGGGCTTTGGTGGCGAAAAGTGGAGGGAGTTGGGTTTGAGGATGTAGGGTTTATGGTTTGAGTAGAGATGGAGGATGTAGGGTTTGGGGGTGTATGGTTTGAGGATCATGTTCCTGCGGCCCTGGAGCGCAGAATTGAAAGAAACTGTGAGAGAAAAAAGCAGCCAGCCTACCAAAATCTCAACCGCATGCTGTGGAAGTCTGCTGCTTTCGCGCCACTACGAAGCACATCAGAGGGTAGTACCCCTGTCCCCTAAACCCTCAACACCTAAACCCTAAACCTTGAACCCTAAACCCTAAACCCTAAACACTAAACACTAAACAACCCTCAACCCTAAACCCTGAACCCTAAACCCTAAACAACCCTCAACCCTAAACCCTAAACCCTGAACCCCAACCACCCCTAAACCCTAAACCCACATGTTAAAAGGCACGGAGTTCCCGAAGCTGACACATCTGAGGAGTGAGCGGTGTCGAAGGTGTTGTATGGCTGCGCCCTTAGTCGCTCAGACAAGTCCATCTAGGGTTGCGGTTTAGGGTTTAGGGTTTAGGGTTTAGGGTCTAGGGTCTAGGGTTTAGGGTTTAGGGTTTAGGGTTTAGGGTTTAGCGTACCTCGGACGCTTGAGATTGTACCCTGGGGCTTCGGGGCCGTTTAAAGGTCCTGAACCTAGTAGTAAAAGGGCCAATTAGGCGTACACTAACGGGTACAACCATAGGGGTACGAGTCTTACTTGAGTCCAGAGGGCTAAGGAAACTGTCAGGTCTGTGTTCTCAGCAGCTGGGAACTTTGCAAACTCACTTATCAGCTTAGCCGCGCCCAAAACCCGAAACCCTAACCTTTCAACCCTGAACCCTCCACCCAGAGCCTTGCGAGCTCGGAACTTTGGCTTCCGGAAAGGATTGCTGAAGCGGTTGTTTCACCGAGGTCCGTTCTAGACACAAGACTTAGGGATTGCGGTTGCAAGCCCTTGGAAATTCAGCAGGGGTCCAGTTTTGAAGAAAGCCCCAAAACCTAACGGCTGAACGGGAATCCGACTCAGGGCTGCAAATATAGGGCTCGGAATCATTACGCATAGTATTCCCTTATGGTCCCTTTGTAAGTACCATAATAGCCCCCCAAAACCCCGATTCTAATTATTCAGGCCCCTATATTACTGAACCAACCGGGAAGCTGGCTCGGGAGCTTTCAATTTCATCTCACGTTGTAGATTGGTGGGTTCCCCCTACTAGACACCCTCTATACTACCCCCACCCCCCCCCCCCCCCTAGGGTGCCCCATAATTAAGTTTATTTAGGGATAACCAAGCCTAATTTTTGAATCTCCGGGGGTAGTATAGAAGGGTGTAGAGGGGAACCCATGATAGATAAGGGGTTAGGCTTTTAGGGCTTGGGGCTTACCACCCGCCACACCTACCCCCCCCCCCCCCCCCCGAGAATTCAGATTCTTCTGCACTACCCTGAATTCTACCACGGGCCCCCCAAAGACCTTGTTGATTCTTTTTGGGGGTGGCGCTGCTTTGAACTCTGACTCATGGGACCCATAAAGCACCAAGCAAGCCCTATACGTGGTTGCTGAGTTCATAAGCCACAAAAAATGTACACTTTCAGTCTGCAGGGGATGAAAGTATCCCAAGAGGTGTAAAGTGTACTCACTCAGCTGCTAAGTACAAGCCCTGCCAGTACTCTCAGCCATTAAAGCCCTCAAAGCCCCCAAGAGGTTGCCAAGGCACATTGAAGCTGCGAGCCTGGCAAGAAGACTTCAGCGGCTGGCCCACAAGAAAATTATAAGAACGCAAAGAACCCTAAACGCCAATCCCTGAAGCCTGACCCCCTAGATCTTCAAGGGGTGGTTCCTTGTGGCTCTGGGGTGTCTGGAGGTTCTTGCTGCACTTCGAGTTTCGCTTCTTCACCGTCGACTTCGAGGAAAGAGGGCCGGTTGCTGTAAACCGTAGAAACCCTGAACCTTAATGTGGGTGTAGGGTTTCTGGGCTTAGGGTTCCTAAACCCTCCAACCCTCTAAGCCTCAAACCCACAACTCCCCCCCCCCCCCCACTAAACGGACAGTAAACGGTCTTTAGGGTTTAGGGCTTCAAAGGGTTGAGGGTCCATTTAATCAGTACAGGCGGGTTTAAGGGTCTGGTCCCAAACTCTTTACAGCTCTTGTGCCCCCTAAACTCTCTAAACTCGCTAAACCCCGTAAGCCCCGTAAACCCTAACCTCTCTGAACCCTGGACCCCCTGCACCCGAAACCCTAAACCCGCTGAAACCTCAAACCCTAAACCCCAAACACTAAACTCCCTACACCCTAAACCCCCTAAGCCCTAAGCCCTAAACCCTAAACCCTAAACCCTCAACCCTCAACCCTAAACCCTAAACCCTAAACCCTCGCGCGCCGCCTCGCCGGCTCAGGCTTCGCTTCGTTGCTCCCGGTTCGATGCTGCGGGAGGTGCTGCGGCCATGTTGGGGGTTTCGGGTTTAGGGTTTAGGGTTTCGGATTTAGGGTTTAGGGTTTAGGGTTTAGGGTGGTTTCGGATTTAGGGTTTAGGGTTTAGGGTTTTTAGAAACCTTCGGGCTTTAGGGCTTGCCCAGGGCCCAGACGCCCTTTCCCCGAAGCCCCAAACCGACTTTGAGTTTAGAGTTTAGGGTTTAGGGTTCAGGGTTTCGGGTTTAGGATTAGGGGTTTAGGGTTAAGACTTCAGGGTTGCGGATTTGGGTTTGGGGTCACGGGCTGTGGCAGTGGCAAAATAGACCAAGTACCAAGACCCTTTAGAATAAGGGGACAAAATTTTCAGACTGCAGAAAGCGCCGATAAAGCCCTAAAACCTTGGGCTTAGGGTTTGGGGTTTAGGGTTTAGGGGTTCCTACAGGGTGGGGCCCCCTAGTTATAAGTAGAGTTATAAGGGCCCTAAATTGGGTTATAAGGACCCTAAGTTAGGTTATAAGTCCCTTAACTACAGTTAGTATAGTAAGGGGGCCCCACCCTGTAAGCCAAAGCCTCTAAACCCGAAACCCTAACGCTCTCTAGCATGGACCTGAGTGAATGGGGGCGTCCGGAACCTTCAGCCCTACACCGCATTTTCAAGGCGCAGCTTACGGTTTAGGGATTAGGGTTTGGGGTTTAGGGTTTAGGGTTTGGGGTTTAGGGTTTAGGGTTTGGGGTTTAGGGTTTAGGGTTTAGAGACACCTACCTCACATAAGCAACTCAAGAAACTTCTCCCAACAGGCGCTGAACCTCGGGGACTTGGGGTCTCAACTTGACCCGAACGAATCCGACCCCGTATAAGCGCCAAGCCCGATAAGCCCTATAAGCCCTATAAGCCCTGAACCCTAAACCCTAAACCGCAAGCTGCGCCTCGAACGGAGGCTCACCCAGCCCTCGGCAACAAGCTGAGGCTGCCTTTTCTCGCCCGTTCGCGCGCGCGCGCGCGCGAGCTGAGATGCTTTGGACTTGCTTACGCGTTCAGGTTTAGGGTGTAATTGTTGAATGTTATCCAGCAAAAGGTTTAATTGATGGATGTAACTCGTTCAGGGTTTAAAGTTTATGGTTAGAGTTTTGGGCCCGAAGCGAGTCCGAAAAGCTCCAAAGCACGAAGGCGAAGACGTCCGACGAACAGTGGCCTAGCCTGAACCCCTGCCCCCAATCCTAAATGAACCCCTAAACCCAAAAACCTAAACCGAAAACCCAAAACCCTAAGCCCTGAACCCTAAACCAGCCATACAGGGCGTATAATTTTTGCACAAGCCCTGCAGCAGGGAACCTGTCTAATGGGTTTAACAGGAAAAGCAACCCCTGCAAAAGGGGGCACCCCTAAACCCCAAAACCCCAAACCCCGAAACCCTAAACCCCAAGCCCTAAACCCTAAACCCTAAACCCTAAACCCTAAACCATAAACCCTAAACCTAAACTCTCGCCGAGTCAACACGATAAGTGGTGAGACTCTGTGCGCGCTGCTGCAGGGCTTTGCCTACGGCAGCTCATCGGGCACCTCTAAGCCCTTAAGACCTTATTTCCTAAACCCTAAACCCTAAACCCTAAACCCTAAACCCTAAACCCTAAACCCTAAACCCTAAACCCTAAACCCTAAACCCTAAACCCTAAACGCCTAGGCTTACAAGGCGCATTCCTGGACAGATCAGATGATTGTAGCAGCCTGAAGATGCAGGCTGGGGTCAGAAATGGCGTCTCTCTCTCTCTCTCTCTCTCTCTTGCTTAACATGGTTGCAGAGGGCCTAAACCCTAAA